AGAAACATTTATATGCTGCTTATCAGACTGAGCCAAGTAGCTCCCAACTGTGCAGCTCTCTCCTAAATCAGTGTGGCCAATTCACATAATTTTTGGCTAAATTTGGCTACTTTTAGAGGTCGTTGGGTGGAAACTATTTTATGGCATCTCAACAACAAAATTTAGATAAACTTTTAGTGCTCGGAAAGCAAAATTCAGCTTTTTTCAGCTATTTTTAACACTGGATTCGTATACTTTTTTGAAGCGCCAGTTGACAACACTGCTCCCGATGCTCAACTCTGATAAGTGTGGCCAATTCAGATAATTTTTCGCTAAATTTGGCAACTTTTATAGCGTATTATTTGTGGCATCTCAATAACAAATCTAGCAAAACTTTCAGTGCTCAAAAAGCAAAATGCAGCGTTTTTTCAGTTATTTTTAACACTGGATTAGGGTATTTTTTTGAAGCGGCAATCGACAACACTGCTCTCGATGCTCAACTTAGATCCTTCTGGCTAAATTTGGCTACTTTTAGTGCTCGGAAAGCAAAATTTAGCCTATTTTAAACACTGGATATTTTAAAGCGGCAGCTGACAACTCTGCTCCTGATACTCATACCTTTTTCAGCTAGTTTTAACACTGAATACGGCTACTTTTTTGAAGCGACATTTAACAACACTGCTCCCGTTGCTTAACTCAGATCCTCTGATCAGTGTGGCCAATTCAGATAATTTCCGGCTAAATTTGACTACTTTTACAGCGTAGAAACTATTTTGTGGCATCTCAATAACAAATCTAGCAAGACTCAGATAGCAAAATCAGTTTTTTTCAGCTATTTTTAACACTAGATTCGGCTTCTTTTTTGAAGAGGCAGTTGACAACACTGCTCCCGATGATTATGCTGCTTTTTTCAGCTATTTTTAACACTGGATTCTTCTACTTTGACAACACTGTTCCCGTTGCTCAACTCAAATCCTCTGATCAGCGTGGCCAGATAATTTCCGGCTAAATTTGACTACTTTTAGTGCTGAGAAAGCAAAATGCTGCTTTTTTCAGCTAATTTTAACACTGAATTCGGCCACTTTGACAACACTGCTCCCGTTGCTCAAGCGATTTGATTATGCGACCGAATCGGCCAACCCCTCACACATGGCCAGGTTCAGTTACGTGGAAGTAAAAGATCGGACCCACACACGCACATATAAAGAATATACACACACACACGCACACACAGAGATACAGGGTACACGCGCGCACACATACAGATGCATGGCATAACTCGTCAAACAGGATTATTAAGCAAAGTATGTCAGTGCGCTGGCTTTGCTTTAAAGACAGCATCTCGAGCAAGGCGAGGCGGCCCTCGGACGGGGGGGAGGGGGGAAAAAAAAAATATAAAGCTGACAGCTGGTCAACTGGTCTCGGCCAGGCCAACACCTCGGCCCCAGATGTAAATGACAAAGATGCTGACACCGGGCCGAAAAGCCGTTCACTTGTTACCGCGTTGCAGTTGGATTGGGCCAGATTGGACTCTGGTCACACTCGGATCGGGCGACCTTTTAGGCCGATTAGCATTTCCCGTTCATCTGGCGAAAGTGAAATCCATAGCTGCGCGCTTTTACAACTTTCCCTAGATGATGGCAACAGATTTTCATAACCTAAATTCATATCCTGCAGAAATTCTGATTGGTATTTTCTCTCATGCCGAGCTTCTAGCTAGTAATAAAATCTTAGTCAAAAGTTTTTTAAAAGTAAAAGTCGCTGTTGGTAAATTTTTGGTATAACCAGTTTACAAATCATATCTTAAGATTTTCTTTTGACAATTCTTAAATTAAATATAAATTGGCATTGAAAACGCTTGGATTAAGTGTAAAATATTCTTACATGAAACTAGTTCAGGGTAAATAAATCTATTTATAACTGAATTAAGACTAAAAAATTCTTGTTTTTTCCCCTTAATATCCGATCCTTCATATCTTCAGATTGTAAAAACATTTTGTTGTAGACAATTCTTAAATTAAATATGAATTAAAATTGCAAAACTTCTTGGATTTAGTGCAAAATATGTTAAAAACATTTTGTTGTAGACAATTCTTAAATTGAATATGAATTGAAATTGAAAACTTCTTAGATTAAGTGTAAAATATGTTAACATGAAAGTTTTTCAGGGTAAATAAAACTATTTGTAACTGAAATTTGTTACCAAAAATTCTTGTTTTTTATCCCCTCTTAAAAAATAATAAAATTTTGATCCTTGTGTTACCGTTATGTTATGTTATGTTAACCCGCGCTTCACTCGCCTTTTGGCATTTGATGCACTCAAAAAAATGTTAACGCTTCACGACGCTCTCTTATCACACACGTATTAAGATAACACACCCACACAGAGAGTATATTATCTGTGGCCAGCAACAGTCCAGTTTTCCCAGCTATACAAATGTCTGTCATACATACACATATATATATATATATTTATGTATGTATGTACATATGTATGCATGTAGCTTATCACACGCGGCATTCCCCGGACTAAAGCCTAGCACAACAGAAAGAGCAAAAGTACCTTTTTTTTCGATGCCTTTTTCTCTTGCACATAATGTCAATCCTCACACACACACGCACGCTCGTTTAGTTGTCTGTGTGCGTGTGTAGTTTTGCATGTTTCTGTCATTACTTTTCATTAGCTGCTGGTCTTAAGTAAATCATCTCGACCCTGCACGCGCCCATGCACTCCGCCCCTCTCCCCGCTCTTCCCACTCTCCCTCTCGCTCTCGCACGCTCTCTTCGCCCCACGCGCCGCACAATGCAGGGAAAGCACCAAATCGCCGCATTCTGGTTATCATATGCTGCTGCTGCTGCTTATACCCTACCCGTCAAGCGGGCAAATCTATTAGGAAATGCGATTTGTCCACTTTAGCTAACTATATGCAAGAGTAGAGCATCGCGCTGTCGCCTAGGCTAATCTTATTTGTTATTAATTTATGAACTCAATTATCGCGGAAGCGCATTCAAATAAAAGCTTATTGAAAGTGCAATTCGCCGTCTCTTTCGCACTCGTTTTGGCGGAGACGGAGCTTTACACGTGCCGCGAGGAAGGTCAAAAGAGAGAAACACGCGCGATCCGCTCGAAGGGGAAGGGGAGCGGAAAAAGTCCGCAAGAGTATTGCAATGATTATTTATTATTATTTTATTATAAAAATCAAAGGCGCTTTGGGTTATAGGAAATCGCCTATCGATCGATCAACAAATGATTGAAACTACTTTATAGACAGATGCAGTATTATAGATAGATCAAGCGACATTTTTAATAATAAACTAACTAATTTAGTTTAGTCCTGCTGATCAAAGTAAAAAACTAGACTCGAAAAACAATCGAAAAAAAACACTTTTCTTAGGCATCAAATTTGACAAAAATGTAAAATTAAAATCCCAGAAATAAATCATTTTAACCGAGATTATATTCTGACTTTGTTATATCTTAAGTACATTCTTTATATAGGATATATAGAATATCTAAAAATGAAGAGAAGTATTTCAGTTTGTTTAAAATTTTAATTTAGCCAGAAAATAGCTAAAGTGCCAACACTTTTCCCGCGGCTTTCCCCGCCAAAGAGGCGAAAATTTTCCTTGAATTCACTTAAATAAATTCATTTGATTTATGTCATTTAAAATGAATAATTTGGCAAACCTATTTCAGACACTATCTGCAGCACAAACACTCAAGATATGCCAAAATATGGCCAAGAGGAGCCATAAATTCATGAGCTCCAACTACCACCAGCGGCTATAGATAAGACATTTACATAGACATTTATATTTTATACTTATCGCTGATCGCCGGAGAATCGACCCATTTAATAAAATCATTAGACCTAATCACATTTCAATGTCAATATTCTGTTGAGAAACTAGAAAACGACGACAGTAAAAAAACAATATTAAATCAATATTAAAATTAAGTCAAGAACTTCCAATATGCAGGACTTCTTATAAGAAATGCTGTGCGCCTTGCATTTCTTTTCAAACTTAAATAATTGCAAAAAGTTTTAAGATTTCGATTAGATGACTTATTTAATATCTTAATTTGGTATATTATTTAAGAAAAAAAAAAAAATTGGAAAAAACGAAAGAAAGAAGTTATACTTAATTCAATAATATTTAAAATTTCTTCTTATAAGAAATGCTGTGCGCCTTGCATTTTATTTTCAAAATTAATTAATTGCAAAAAGTTTTAAGATTTCGATTAGATGACTTATTTAATATCTTAATTTGGTATATTATTTAAGAAAATACAATAAATTGGAAAAAAGAAAGAAACAAGTTATACTTAATTTAATAATCTTCAAAATTTCTTTCTGAGCCCATTTATATTTTGATGGGATCCCAGCCGTTCGACCTGTGTGTCGCAGCTAATAAGTCACACTTGCTGGAAGGGTAACAAAAAAAAAAAGAGCAAGCGACAGCGACATCAGCGACTGCGACTGCGACAGCGACAGCGGTCCGCGACACGCGCTGTAGTCGCCGCTATCAGCAGCGCGTGCTATTTTTAGACGCATTATCAGCCGTGCTCTAATTAAGATCTCTGCACTGGGCTTTCAAACAAAATGCTCACTAATCAAAATCGCAGCTCTGCAGCCCCCCAAAACGAAGCGCAAGTTCAATAAGTCCAATAGAAGCAAAGATCTCCAATTGGAGTTATAGTGCAGGCATACTCAAGTAAGACAAGAGAAGCGCAAGTTCGATTAGTCCGTTAGAATCCAAAATCTCCAATTGGAGTTATGCATACACAGATATATAGATCAAGGCAAAAGAAGCGCAAGTTCGGTTTGTCCAATAGAATCAAATATCTCCAATTGGAGTTCTAATGTACATGTGTACATACATACACAAATATGGACACGCACACACGCACACAATTTCATAATCAAGTAAGACTCTGGTCCGCCTTTTGTAGGCGTTAATTGGACAAAAGTCTTAAACATATCTGAGGCATATGTTTAATGGAATTTTTTTCTATTTACCTGTGTTGGTCTAATCAGAAATTGAGTTGAAGCTTTGCTGGCTCCTGATGTTGTTGCTGTTCCTGTTTGTTGTTGTTGTTGTTGTTGTTGTTGTTGTTGTTGCAGCTGCTCCTTGTTAACTTGTTGTTAGTTGTATTCTTGTTGTTAGTTGAAATTGTGCACTTTATGATTTAGTTGTTGTCAACACTTTTGCGGGAGTCTCTTTGTTGTGCATTTATTTACTCTTAAAATGCGATGTTTTTTTTTTGTTGTTGTTTTGAGCAGAACTTTTGCCGGTTTTGTGTATTAATTATTATTAAGCTTCGTTTTAAGGCTAACTGGCATAATTTCTTGCTCACACACACACGCACGCACACACAGTTACGTGCATCGATTCCGCATACAGATAAGAATGTACATATGTATGTATGTATGTACAAACAAGCACACACACTTATGTATTTATACACTTGTTGTTGGTTTTTTTGTGGGCGGCTTCTGCTGTTGCTTGAGCTATAAACATACAAATTAAAACTGTATTTACTTAAGGAATAATAATACAAATATAACAAAAAAAAAAAAACAAAAACCAAGAGCAAGTTATGTATGAATGTAAATATGTTAAAAAGCTTTATGAAGAGCGCGCCGTTGTTGGTGCCGAAGAGAGGGAGTGGAAACAAAAGAGAGAGTGAGCGTGAGATCGCGTCACGTCACCAATTCATGCCAATTGGACGCATACAAAAATTAATTGGAATTCGTATAAGAATTCAATGAAAGCGTGCGCCGCAGTCGACGACGGCGCAACACACACACACTAACGATCTACAGCAGCATACATATACATAAGCAAGCATATGTGTGAGCTTATGTAGATAAATACATAATATACATATATATATACACATGTATATAGATACGTGTGTGTGCTTGTGTATGTTTAAAGTTCAAATGGAAAAATTGATATGTATATGGATGTATGTACGTATGTACACATATATGTATATAAGCACGTTTACTGTTTATTTTTTATTCTTGCTTTGCTCAAATTTGAATTTGAGCAGCTATTTTGATTTTGCACTGGTGCGTATGTGTGTGTGTGTGTGTGATTATACGCGCGTAGCTGCCGGCAGCAGTAAGTTTCTAAAGCACGCAAAGCCCCCAATGGGAAGAGATCATTTCCAGGTCTTGCTACGCTATTTGATTTAATTTCTTACTACGCATTCTTCATACGCTATTTCTTATTTATTCTAGCTCGCTTGCGTGTGTGTGTGTGTATTTTGTATTATGCTGTGTTCACTTTTTCACATGTATGTATGTATGTATGTAAATGTTTTGATTTGGAATTTTGCAGAACTATTCACTTTTCAGAGCACTCATCGTTCGCAGTAGTAATACGATTGTCGATTGGTAGCGGGGCGGGGGGCAGGGGGCGGGTCAACACGTGATCAAACGGCTTGGGTTGGGCTCGAAAGAATTTGGTGACGTTGGGGTTAAGTAGCGCGCTTAACGCTGATCGACCTCGTGGCTTTTAACCGCAAACGCAACGGACTCTGCTCGTTAACTGCTTTCTAGTTGGATGCGAACTGACAACTGATTGGTATACGAAACGCCACAAAACGAAGCAGCGGCAAACGACAGCGTCGGCAACAGCGACGGCGACAGCGACAGCGACAACGACAACGACGAAGCGACACGAACAGCTAGCCGCCAGCCAGCAGCCAGCAACCAGCCAGCCCGGCTCGTCTCTCGCTTAGTGGTGTGGGTCATAGATGGTGAGCGCCGAGAGACAAAGCTCTCTTACAAATGTGCGAGTGTGTGTGTGTGAGTATTTTGAAATCCACATTTGAGTTCCACAAAAATGCACGTTTTGTATTTTGGCGCTCACATATTTTTACAGCACATACTTACGAACACTCTTGCACACACACACGCACATCAATTGAGTAATAAAGCTCATAGATTGCGTATACTTGTGTGTGTGTGTGTGTGTGTGTGTATGTGGGCTCTAAATGATTTTTTCGTGAATTTTTTGCTATTTTGTTTTGCCTGCCATCTTCTTGGCAGTCGATCTGAATCTGGTAGCGAATCGCGCAGAGTCGAATCCAGTTTCCACCGTTGCTGATAAGCGGCAAATGGGGCAGCGCTGTTATCTGCGCGCGTCGCACACTCTGTGGGAAATTTTCCGAAATTGCACTCTGATAAGGAAAGCGCTGCATTTTGCAATGCGCTAGGCACGCGCATTCATAACACGAATTTTATTTACCGCCCCGCCCCGCCCCGCGCTCGGAACCAGTTTGTCGCCTAGACTGGTTCATTCGGACATTTGGACATTTGAGTTTTTAATGTGACTGCCACATAAATTCCACAAATTACGCTGCTAATGAAGTCTAGACGTTTGAGCTTAAGTAAGCCTCAGGCGGTTTATGGCCCAGACTCCAGCCCAGACACGGCTCACAGTTGCGAGTCGCAAAAGTGCTCAGATCAGAATTTATGAGGCGTTGATCAATTTTTAGTTCTATCCGTGTTCTGCCGCGTTATAATCTGGCATTCATACTTTGCCAACTGCAGTACATAAATTTCCCTTGTCTGGAATATAAAATGTTGCGAGCTCGTTCAGGTTCATGATGAAGCAAGTGAACCAGTTCAAGAGTTTACAAATTCTTTTCGGAACATTGAGAAGAACCTTCATATGCCTCTTTGCCATATGAAACCGGATAGGACTGGAGTTTGAACTTGTTAAAAACAATTTGTTATAAATGTTAACATCAACAAACCTCGCATAATACATTCGCAAATGTTTGGTTTTTCTAAAGTTTGTTTAATATAAATCAGAGATCAACAGATCCGAGCTGGCGCGTGTCGAATATTCAAGTCCGAACGTCGGCGTCATCATCGACTTCTAATCGCAACCAAAATCGGCACAAGGTGTTAAATAAGGTTTCACATAGACGTCAAATGTCGTCTGACTTCCCAATGTCCCAATGAGCGAAAAAAGTGACGAATGTTCTCAGCGCGATTTGTGACGTCACAAGCGGACAGCAAGTACCGCTCGGCACGGCGAATATGGCGTATCCACCGCGCCCACGTTAGCTACCACGGCGCATGCGCCGCTGTCGCTGCCGCTGCCGGCAGAGCCAGGTCCAAAGCTGCGCTCCAGCAATTGACGACGTAGTAAAAAATTAGCGCGACGTCGGCTCAATTGGAATTAGATGGAGGGAGTAATGATATCAGTCGTCGACTGGCCTTCAAAAAATTATAATTTCTGTTTAATGGTTCGCCTGTGCGCGCTGACTGGTATGCGATGAGAGGGGGTGGGGGGAGTGGGGAGGGGAGAGAAGGGCAACTGGAGAAGAGAGCTAACTCGCCTGATGTCTGTTTGGCTGTGTCTAGAATGTTTGCTTTCAGTGTGCCGCTGTGTGTGTGCGTGTGTATGTATTGCAAATCCAATTTGAATATGGGTACTAACAATTTGTTGGCTTGATAGAGTCTAAACTGGAATATAGATTGGTTACTTGGTACCTCTGGCTTATAGTATTGGCTGTTTCTCTGTGTGTGTGTGGTGAATGCGAAATGAGTAGGAATCAAATATTTATTACTGTTATTTATGCGAAATATAGAAGCATACAAATCGTTCTTAAACGGAATCAAAAAGCTTCTGTGGTACATTATTTGATGGGTGTCTATTTAAATCCTCCAAACCGAGCGATAAATTGCGCAATACTTTAACTTGAACTAAACTAATGAAATTAATGCATTGTGATTAATTAAGCGGCGCAATTGATGCAATCACACATTAGCGCACAGCCCAAGAATTAACGCAATTGAAAGAAAACTTGTATTTCCAGCCGCTGCATTCCCGCATCGCCGCATCTCCGCATCCATCGACATCCTCAAAGACGTCAATGAAAGTGCGACTTAGTTTGAGTCTATGGAACTGGTACTTCTCGGAGCGGAGCGGAACGTTCGCTGATGACGTCGTTTCATATGCAAATGTCGCCGGGGCCTGAGGCCGAGTGTTATACAGGCACACACACACAGACTTAACTGTATTTGTGTGTATGTAAATTTGATGAAGCACTTCCTGATGCTGCTAGAAGACAGCAGATACCAGATATTAAGATAAAAGAGCGCGACGCTCTTCCGAACGGCATCCACAGCGAAAATCGACAGTCCACAAGCACAGGCTTGGCATCCACATCCACAAAACTTTACGAACTGGCGACTCGCCAACATAAAACCACGTGGTCTCTCAAGTTCACTAGCGAAAATAGACAAGACGTAGAGCGCAATAAAATAGGCAAAAGAGCAAAGCGTATAACAAGACACTCTGATATACATATGTATGTATGTAGGTATGTGTATATAATACGGGCATACATACATACATATGTATGTATGCCATGTGAATTGAAGAAAACCACATGCTACGCGAAAATATTTGGAAGGGGCAGCAGCGCTGACGATGATGAAAACGACGGCAAGAGCGCCGAGAGTGCAGCTAACAGGTTGGATACCGGCAGCAATGAGAAAACAGAAACAAAAACAAAAGCAAAGAAAGCGGAAATAAAACACAAATACGCGAAAGGTTTTTTGTAAACAAACCAGAGTAGTTTGTCTGGAGTGCAAAGAGAAAGAGAGCGCTAGAGAAGCGCCCGCGATCACTGGAGAATGGCGCCCACAAAAGTGAAGCTAAACCAGAAATACACACACACACACACACACACACGACTTACATACAACCTTATGTATGTACATGTGTCTGGCAAAGTGCCAGCTACAAAGCGGCGCGAAGTTAGAAAACAAAATTAAAAACCTAACCTTACCTAATGTGGTATGAAATGACACGCATAGCTACTCACACATACATACACACAGGCTCGCACACAGCTCACACACACACGTACAAACTAAGTAGCGCAAAAACGTGGTTTGCGGCGCCGACTGCGACAGCGAAGTCGGCGTCAATTGCGTCGTTTAAAATACAGAAAGAAAAATAAAAAACGACACAATCGCATGTTGCTGAAAGAACGAAAGCAAATAGAACATAAAATAGCGCAAAGGCAAAGAGTTAGGCTCGTATGAAAGAGTGAGATGGAGATAGAATAAAAGAGAAGTGAGCACCAAAAATGCGAGTCTTTTCTAGAATTCATTTAAATACATACACATGCACATGCTGTATGCATGTATTAGTACAATAGTGTGCATTACAATACTTCCAGCTAATAAATTAATCTACTACAACCTATTAAGCTCTTTGCTGATTAGCACAGCCATTATGTTCCACAAGACCACTTGTATGATTTTGACTTACACTCCACAATAATTCTCTCCCACACACACACACAGTCGCTCTCTCACACTCAGGCGTCGGGCAGCGGCCACTTACTTTCTCTCGGCTTTTGCGATGCGTGTACTCTTCTTACTACAAACTTTTCGCAGCTTCGCTCGCTCCTCTCACTCAACCCCCGAAATGCATTTGCACGCCGACTCTCTCGCACTTCAACGCCTTGCCATGCACACGACAGAGACGGGCTATTTACGGGGACTTGCCTATGACAGGTAACGGTAATACGTATACGCAACGCAACGCAAGGCTAGGGCGACTTTCTTGACACACTTTCGTTTGGGCACGTTTGGGTGGCTGCAGAGCTGCGGTCGGCCGCTGTCGGCCGTGTTAACTGTTGGTTAACTGTTGGCCGCCGTCGGGCCGGTGCGTCGTCGGTGGGTGTGGCTCCTGTTTAGCGGCGAGGAGTCTGCGCAGCGCGTCCTGTGCTCCAATAGGTTGCCGTTTAATTGTCGCCTGGTTGGCTCCCGCCGGCGCCTGCTGGGGTTGGGCAGCAGCAACAGAGACAGAGACGCTTTCCTCGGGCTAGGAGCCTTTCCATGCTCGACATCCGTCGGCGTTCTGCTCGCTCAGCTCTTGCCGACGGCTTAATCTGAGGGTTGTTAGGCAGCCTAACACCGTGTCCTTGGGCCTAGCCACACTCACACACACACACACACACACACACACACACACAGCTTTGGTATTTACGCAGGTAACGCACGTTGAGAGGCTGTTTATGTTTGCAGCTTGTATTATAACCGAACCCGCCCGTAATCCTCGGCGTCATCTCTGCCTGGCCATTTATAGGCAGATAACACGACAGCGCAGCGCTGCGCATATCAACACGTAATAATCATTCAAATTAGAGCCATCATCATCAGCATCATTCAAGGCGCTGCCATATCAACAGGTGCCCCTCGCTCGCTCCCGGGAGCATCCATTAGTAAATTGAGCAACGACCATTATCCTCATCTCAAGCGTGATTTCGACTCCCGCCTTCCACTTCCATCTAGCTGACCTTAAGTCGTAAAAACCTGTTAATTAAACTCATAACAATAATACTCATAATATTTTGGCTTATGCATTAACATAGAAATACTACTAGAAATTGAGAACATGATCTATGATTTTTTTCTCCAGGTTATAAAAAGCGTATTTCCATTAGGGTAATAGTTTTTGTTAAAGACTATTTTTACCCTGTTCTCATTATTATTATTATTATTATTTTTATTTTTTTTTCGATTCCATAAAAGAGATTTATTCCGGTTCAAAAGGACGAGTTAAGTAGATTTAGTCATGTGAAGGATGTCAAGGAATATTCATATTATTGGCATT